GAATCTGCATACTTAAGCTCTTTCACATGTGCATATATGTCTCTTCTAGAGTTACTCTAGAATAAATAAACAAGTTAGGTTCACTCTTTGTTAGATAAAACATGTTACCCATGTTATGTAATGTTCATCGGGTGGATTCTCACCTGGTTGATGCCCATTTTTGCTTTGGTTCATGGATTCATGGCTTCATGGCTTCATATTATTTTTCTTTTGGAGGCGGAGATCCAACTAGGAAAGAATGGGTGAGCAGAAGGCTACTAGGAGGAGCAGCGGTCTACCTTATTCATCCCTTTCATTGTTCCTATTTTCTTTCTTTTTCGATTTAGAACATTGATGATCTGTACGTGTGCCCTCTATCACAGCCTACGATTTTTTCTAAATCGATGATGATGTATGTAAACTTGTGCGCTCCATGCCAGCCTATAAGCTATGTGCATGTACATATGAACAATATGTATTACATGAACTGTAATGTGTACATCACAGTACAGTATGTGTTTTTTTAATCTTAAAATTACTAGAAGTGGCAGGCAGAACTAAGTGCATGCATGCTGACAAGTGGCGGGTGTTATTTCATGTCCATGCTCACCACTGCTAACCGATTATCAATGGCAGGCTTACTTAATTTGGGTCATGTTAGTAGTAGGGGGAGATCAGTGGTGGGCGCCTGTGAAAGAATATCACGCCACTGATGGGCTTTTAGTGTCCACCACTGCTAGGCATTCCTGTAGTAGTGATGGTTCTCCATGAACCATCTTCTTCAAATCCCCAAGGCAGAAAAGTTGGAAGATGAAAAGGTTCTCACTTGCTTCACCAAACTTTGGCGTTTGGTCTAATCCCCAAACAACTCATCTTATCAAAGAATACTGATGAACTTAACGCTCTATCTGTGTTGACTCGTGCAATGGTCGTCCACCCTGCCTCAGCCTCGAATTTCTTTGCATCATCCTTCCCGATCACCACATCATCAAGTTCCTCATCCAGAAGTTCCATGTTTTTGAGCATCTCCTCTAAATCGATCTCCCCCTTCTTCCCCGAGGTAGATCCCTTCTCCGCCGCCATGATCTTAGGGTTACGATCAAACATTTCCAGATACTACCTTGTCGCCTCCCAGAGGGGCGTCGATTCGGTAACGATCACAAGCAACGATCCCAGCCCCTGGTGATGAGAATCACTTGTGGTGGAGCTGCAAACCCTAAATGAAGAGGGTAACCTTCAGTTCGATTGTTTTTTGACAAAGGGTTGCATTTATGAATATAATGATAAAGAGCACATACCCAACCTATGCATACCTAGCATGCACACAACCAACACAAAAAAAGATTCACAGTGGCAAATGGCAAAGTTAGATAAGACTGAAGCTATGCCTTGGCGCATAAAGAAAAAGAAGAAATCCCAAAGCGATCAAAACAGTGGTCAATGATATACCACAGTAACCATATGTACTATCCATCTTTCGACAACACTTAGACTACGAGAAAGGTTCTCCAAAGGCGACGCCTCCACGAAGGGAAGGACACGCAAATGCCACCATCGCCGGATTCAACTGTTGAGGTCAGATCATGGTATTTCACCCTGAAGATCACAGTCGAGCAAAATCCAAGCAATGCTTTCATCAAGGTAACGACGCAAAAGACGCCATCATTGCCAAGTATAACCGACAAATTCGAGACCTATGTTTTTCACCCCCGGAGGTCGAGATCGGGTACTTGAGAAGCACCCCACAATCCTAGCAGTTGCAGTTGCATACACGCACAGTTGAACAGATGACCATGTCCGGGTGAGCCACTACACAAAGGAACCATCAACAGCCGCACCAGCGGATGCAGATCTGGACTGATCTAACTTCGGAGGGCATCACCATTGCCTCTGATTGGAAGTTCCAAGCCCCATAGGCGACAGCTGCCCAGCCGATCTCGCGCCCACGGGGACAACCGCTCGCGGGAGGTAGGATCAACCCCGGCCGGCACCGTCCATCAAGATGTAGACCATGGTGCTACTGTTATGGATGAGTGAAGGGCTGGAATGACCACTGCCATCCGCTGGCTGCATGGACGACAGTCAGCTCCCCGGTGTTGTAGAGACGCCCCTGGACTGTTGGAACTAATCTTGTTAATTAGTATTTTATCATGGTTATTTCGTTGTTTTATTGAGATATGCATGCAGATTACTACTCCCTTCATTCTAAAATAGATGACCCAATTTTGTACTAATTTAATACAAAGTTGGTCATTTATTTTAGAACGGACGGAGTAGATCAGAGTGTGTGGACGGCAGGTTAGGTCATGCCAAGTTGTGTGTCGCATGGCGTCGTGCATGTGTTGTAGTGGCACGAGTGTGTGTCGTTGCATAGCAAGTAGTCTATTACGTGTTAGTCGGTCAGCTGGCTGCATGCGCCCATACACCGCGGAGGTGGAGCAGCCGAGTCGCGTAGCAGATCAGCATGGAGTAAGGGCATCTCCAGCCACGCCCCCGGAAGGCCTTCCCAGGCGATTTTTTCGCGTCGGCGCCAAAAAAGCGGCCCAGTCGCGTCCCAGGAGCCTGATTTTCGCCGGCTTGGGCCGAAAACAGCGCCGACGGACCTAGCCCGAACCCGGCGCGCTGGGGGGCGCCCGGGGGCGCCGGGGCGAGCTGTTTTGGCGCGAAAAAGACGCGGGCCAGCCGCGTTAGCGACTCGGCGCCTCGTCTTCCCCCAACGGCCTCGGTTCCCGCGGGGAATCAAGGCTGCCGCCGGTCAGCCTTGCCATTGATTCCTCACGGGCGGCGCTTCACGAGACGGCGCGCCGACGCCTCCCCTCCCTCGCACGCGTACACACGGGTGTGGCCCGGCTATAAAAGCCGGCGGCCTCCACTCGCCTGTGCCCATACCAGCCCCGCCCCTCGCCGCCGTCCAGCCCCTCCCTCTCCCTGCCTCTCCCGAGCGCCGCTGCCCAGCCTCTCCCTCTACCTCTCCCGAGCCCACCCAGCCCCGCCGTCGCCATGGCAGAACGCTTCCCTGGAGACGAGGCGGCGGCCAACGGCTTCGGCCGCCGTTCGCTCCGCGAACAGGAGTCCTGGCTCCTGTTCCAGGCGAACATCCCGACGCGCCGGGAGAAGGTGAAGGAGCGCCAGCGCGCCGCCCTGCGCCGCTTCGAGGAGCGCCGACGCGGCCGCGATGAAGACGGGGTCGTCGTCCTATGCGACAGCGACGACGACGACGTGCCGCCGCCAGTCCGCCATGGCGACGCCGGGTCCAGCAGGGGCGCCCGCGTCAAGGAGGAGAAGGCCGATGACGACGATGGCGGCGACGACTTCAGCCCCTTTCTTTTTTAGATTAGGTTAATGTAATGAAAATGCGCGAATTTCGCCAAAATTTGCCATGTTTAGCCGAAATTTAACTACTTTGTATCATAACTTCGCCGAACGGCCCTTTTTTTTTTAATACGCGCCTGGGGGCGGCCCTGGGGGCCGACGGATGGGGACCGACTCGCCCCAGGGCCATTTTTTGCGCTGGCTCATCCCCAGGTGGCGCTTTTAAACGCCCCCTGGGGGCCAACGGCTGGAGATGCCCTAAGAATCGGGAGCCATTAGTTGAGACTTGGCCCTGAACGTGGGAATCCAATGTTTCTGCAGACTTGGTTGCCACGCAAGTGTACGTGCATGCAGCTGGTTAGTGGATTGATTAGTGGATCAAGTAGTTGTGGCCTTGACAATGTGTGCATGCAGTAGTTGGTTAGTGGCTTAGTGCGTGGGTGTGTTGGCCGTGTGAGGGAAAAAAAATTCTATGAGACCAAGTCTCACGGATTAGTAGGTGAGACCCATCCTGATGGATGACACGTGGCATTCACAAATCACAAAGCATTTACCCCACTCCCACCTGAAATCAGGGGAGGGAGGGAGAGATTAGATGCTTTGTGATTTGTGAATGCCACATGTTATCCATCAGAGCGGGTCTCACCTGCTTTATATGAGACCTGGTTCCTTCTTCCTTTGGATACACACGTATAGGACCAAGCCTCAACTAATTGCTTCCTTCTTCCTCCACGCAGAACTGCCACGCGACTCGGCTGCTCCGGCTCTATAGCTAGCTAACTAATCCATCCATGCATGCATGTTACTAATGGAACGGCACATCCACAATTTAGTGCCACACACGGTGTCATGCGGCGCTCACAACTTGGCATGACTAACTGGCCGTGCACACTAAGTAACTAAACATGAGGAAAACCAAAAAACAACAAGGTTAACTCTAACATGGACGGGTTGCGGAACATGCCGCCCGCGGGGGCACACTTTCAGTTGGAGCGTCCGCTGTACGCGATGCCAGCAAGGAGAGAGAGAACAGCGCTCCCGTTGCTCCATGGCTGCCGCCTCCAACCACGAACCAGCGCAGGAAAAGCATCTTCAGCCCGCACTACTTCTGGTGGCCGCTGCATATCGCCGAACTCTGCAGACCGCTACAGGAACAGAGCCCGCCACCGCAGTAGGCCACGCAGGCAAGCAGGCAAGCCGTGGAAGGTCGCCAAAAAGTGGATCGGGAGCCGCCCGAGTCGCTCCGGGAAAAGTGGATCTCCAATCTGTTACGTCTGTCAGAATCAAACCGACCTACGTACCGCACGCACACGCTATAAAACCATCCCATGGATCCACCGATATCGAAGCCAGTGCCAGCTCGCCACATCGTTCACATCGCACACACGATGCCATCATCACCGCCGCCGCCGGCGGCGGCACCACGAAGCCGTCGATCCAAGAAAAATACACGGACGTACCACGTGTCGGTGTTCTGGTTCACGCCCGTCCCGTTGCCGGAGAGGGACTGGGCGGAGCTGCACCCGGACCTTATCTCCTGCATCCTCCACAAGCTGGACCAGGCCGAGCTCCTGCTCGGCGGCGTGGCGGGCGTGTGCCGCTCCTGGCGGCGAGCCGCCCGAGAAGAGCCGGAGTTGTGGCGCTGCATCAATCTCCGCGGCGCCCTGTGGTTCGTCCCGCCATTCCACCCCAAGTTCAGTCTCGAGGCCATGGTGCGGGCCGCCCTGCGACTTAGCCAGGGCCAGTGCGAGGCCTTCCTGACCAACCTCGCCGACGACGATATCCTCCTATTGCTCGCCAAGCAGTAAGATTTCTTCCTTCTTTTCTTTTCCTAATTAATTAATACAAAATGACTAATTCACATTTAGATGTTTGTTTAAGGATGTCATATCTAAATAGTTCATCACATAACAAGGGGCTTCAAGATTTGTACAAAATATATTTTTAATTGTTTTTTTGCTGATGTTGTGTGATGTCATGCTTAGATGTGACATAGTTATGTCACATTTAGATGAGTCCTAGCCACACCATAATTAATATATATCCCAAACCTTCCAAAAGTTTGTCCCTTGTTGTTACGATGCATCTTCATTTCTTTCTCTTTGATTAATTGCATTCTTAAATATTTATTTGTCATATATTGCAGGGCACCTGCGCTAAAGTGCCTCCATCTCCATAGGGGTTATGTCTCGGATGAAGGATTTGCGACCGTGATTAAGATGTTACCTCTACTTGAGGAGCTCGAGATTTCGAAATGTCCCCAAATATATAGTAGGGAGGTATATGAACTTGTTGCTACAGCATGCCCACTGCTAAAGCACTTCAGACATGTCTCAGGAAAGCACTGTCATGCTGATTATGCAATAACATTTGCGGCTCCAAGGATGCGCAAACTACGTTCCTTGGATGTTGTCGGTTGTACCTTCGGTAGGGAAGTTCTGGTAGCTATCCTAGACAATTGCCATGACCTACAGTACCTTAACATGGCAGTGTGCAACCCTATTGCCATTGATAACCTACCAGAAAAGCTTGCTTGGATGGGCATGGATGACCATGATCGGTACTCGAGCAACTACTACGATGACTATACTGGTTGTAAATACTGTTATCCCTACAAGCCTAGGTGTAGATACTGCCGTCCCTTATCCTTTCCGCAGTATGAAGACGATTCCTATGATGATTACTGCTACTACCTTGGTGACGGTGATGATGTTGATGATGCCATTCTCGAAGAGTATGAGAAGATCCTTGACATCAAGAGCATGCGTAGGTACTTAAGTTAATGTAAGGGTGCATATATGTCAATAATATTTCAGTGCCCCCTCTCAAATGCGTGCAAACTCGCTCAATAATACACATCTGATTTTTTTTCTACATCTTTTGTTCCATTTCACTCGAAACAAGTTTAAGTGCTTGTCAAGTAAATGTGCCAACTTGTGTTCTTTATTTTCTAATCCCTTTACCTTATGACTGAAACATCTGTCATCTTTTCCCGGTGCAAAACCTTCCTACCCCTAGCACAAGCAGATTGTGAACTCACCTTTACATCAAATTGTGAAATCGCACACAACAAAGAGAGGCTCGTTTGGCTTGCTTAGCCAACATTTGGTAATGCTAAAACTGATGCACCACAAAATTCTGCATAGACTCGTTCAGTTTGCTGCCAATGACCCGTAAATGGTGCCCCGTAGAAGTACAACATGCCAATTCTCAACTTGTTACAGATGCAGATCAGACTGCTGTGGAGCGCTGGTGTTCTCTGGTCCGAATCGGGTTGATGCTGCGGCCGAGGACGAGGTAGACGGTGAGTTTCACGGCGGCGGTGCTGTAGCTCAAGTAACAGGAGAGTCGCGAGAGGAGGAAGACGAAGGAAAGAGGGGAGAATGAGAAGGGGGCGTTCGACCCTATTTATAAGGAAAGGATACAAGTGGGCGCGAAAAACGAGGAGGCTAAAACATGGTTATCTAGCTGCTCGGACGCCTTGATTCTCGGGACAGTTATTAAAGATAAAAGATCCGTTGAGATATATCAGATATTGTGCAAATTAATGACAGGTGACATCATGACGGGTTATCCCAATTCTAGGAGATGACGTCATGGCGGGTTATGAATTCTCGCACAAGTGAAGAAGGAAAGATTCTTTCCTAAGTGTTGAAGATTGACATGAACAAGTTCAAATCAACCTGGGGCCTCATGTTGGGGATATAACTATAAGGTATGACCCGCCCAGGAGGGGCCAGGTTATACCTATGACGATTCTTAAATGAGAAGCCCACGAGGATATTGAAGATAGGGGTTAACAGCCAAGGGCCCAAGGCCCAAGGGCGACTTAAGGCCCGTAGGAGTAGACCGGCATATATGTAAAACTTCTATTGTAAGGCATGTATAGATAGTCATCAAGCCGGACACGTTGTCTATGAGCCGGCCGGGACTCGGTGAGCCGTTGGGCATCATCCTGTGTATATAAAGGGACGACCCGGCGGCGGTTTAGGGCAAGAGAGAACAGATCGAAAGATAGGTCAAGCGGATTTGCTCCTTGGTAATCGAGACATAAGCAATTCCACCTCAAACTGGATTAGGCCTTTACCTTCGCCGCAAGGGGCCGAACCAGTATAAACTCATGTGTCCTTTGTCCCGTTTAACCCCTTTAAGCTAACCTAGTTGCAATGGCTCTACGACTAAGTCCTTACAATAGGACATCTGTCGTGACTATTCACTACTAGGGAAAAGCCTATACACAAAATCTTACCAGCAGCGCTCCACAAAATACCACGCTGCTGCTACTTAGCAGCAGCGCGTGTTAGAGAAACGCGTTGCTGACAGGAAAATAGCAGTAGCGCTTCCACCACAAACCGCGCTACTTCTATA